GTTAATGATTACACAAAGAATCTTTGTACGTTAAAACAAATAGAAAGAAATGCGAGAAATTTATTAGGTGTAAGCGAATTATTCCCTGGTTAAGAAATTTATTTCAAATTGGATGAAATCACTCGAGAAAGATACCCCCCCCCCAAAAAAAAAAAAACTAAGCAATTTTTACGTGTCAGGTATACCACCACCCCTCTTTCCAGGCAACGCTGTGGTAAGACTACTGTCCAAGACGTATTCCACTGTGAAAATATATATATAAGGGGAGAGAGAAAAGGAGATATTTATAATACTTAGTAAATGGAAAACAAGGCCAAAAGAGAAACTGTAACCCAATCTTCAACACCTTGTCTAAACATGCATTCGAAGCCTTACAAGCCTAGAAGGTTTTTGAAGTATTTTTATTCTCACATGGTATTATTCAAATATGGTTGCAAAAAAAAGTTTGGGCAGAAATTTATATTCAAATCGATATACATACAGACAGTCAATATCGAACTTAATATTGTGTTATTAAGATTTTCTTTATCCTCATTTGTAAATGACTCATAAATTAATAGAAAATTACACTTTATCAGCTTAATCTATTTCACACCATATCAGTTGTTGTTTATGCAATTCAACAATATAGTGTCTCAACCAATACTGTGTTTATTTTACCACAACTAATGAGCACTGGCATTGGCGGAACGGTCTCTTCGGCACTGGATATGGCTGATATAGTGTGGTTGACATATTGCTATACATTCTTCTTTTCGTTCACTCTTTAAATCATTAGATTTAATAAAAGCTTGTTAATGTTTTTATGCAGTTGCTGAAACCACTGCCCCTGACATTAAATATGATTCAGGAGTTCGTGAAGTCCATAGCTCACTTACCCTGAAAACTTAACGGGGGGGGGCGATTTTCTATCCATTCACTGGGGAAAAGCGCTGAACAAGGCTTACTCGAAGCTTCGTGCACAGGTCAATGTACTAAAAATCGATACCTTTTATGTGGCAAATGACGCGTATACTGTGTATTAAACGACACTTCTACGTCGGGATTATATCTAGATGACATATGAATTAAGTGTTACTTAAATGTTTCATTTTCACACGGAGTAATATATATATAATTTTAACACCCAAACAATGCAGGATTTATACAAATATTATACACCATACAGAGGTTTTAACTTTGCGTTTAAACCTTATTGACAAGTTTTGGGTTTATACAAGTTCAGCAGTTGTCTTCAAACAGTCTAAGTCTGAGGTCCAACAACCAAACAAGAACTCTTTCAATTCTTAGAATAAACTAGATAATAGTTTATTTTTCAATTATCAAAAGTGCAAAGCGGAGAACAACTAGCATTTTAAACTGATATTACGAACAACTAGTCAAATAACACAAATAACATTTTCCTATAACAGCTTTATTACGCTATTAGCTAATCACACTATAACAGCTTTATTACGCTACTAGCTAATCACACTATAACAGCTTTATTACGCTATTAGCTAATCACACTATAACAGTTTTATTACGCTATTAGCTAATCACACTATAACAGCTTTATTACGCTATTAGCTAATCACACTATAACAGCTTTATTACGCTATTAGCTAATCACACTATAAAAGTTTTATTACGCTATTAGCTAATCACACTATAAAAGTTTTATTACGCTATTAGCTAATCACACTAACAGTTTTATTACGCTATTAGCTAACCACACTATAACAGTTTTATTACGCTATTAGCTAATCACACTATGACAGCCCCAACTGAAAAGATAATAGTGAAAAATAGAATCAAACGAGAAGGTTGGGTAATAACACTGCAATTAAATAAATGTGTTTTTGTTGGTTTCGATATTCGCCCAATGCTACGCAAAGCGCTATCTCTGCTATCCGTCGTTAATTTGGAATTCACAGACTATACAGAATGCGGCTAGTCTACAATACCCACCGCCAATTCTTGGACTACTTTGACCGAACAGCGGGATTTGACCGTCATATCCACGGTTCCCAACTGCAGAAAACGATATTCTGGCGAATCAAAGATCCTCGAATGTCTGGCATGCTAACCTTTAACTTATATCCGGCCCACTTAAATAGGTTAACTGATAACTTAAGAACTGAAACCAAAACCCAATCTATTTTCCTGTATTATCAAGTTGGGCTTGTATGTTATCTTATTTAAAGTCCTATTGCTATATGATCTTTTATGAATAATCTGTATGATTAAGAACTGATTATTAGATTCATAAAATGCCAATTAAAAATCGCGTTTGAATTATATTAAAGTTACAAATCATGTTTCAGATACAATGCAGCAAGTACACACATGCAATCCATCATGGGAGTGGCTTCCTGGAGATAACAATTATTAAAGGTTTTGTTTGTTTGTTGTTAAGCCCAGAGCTACACAAAAGAGCTATCTGTGCTGTGCACGATTTTTAGCATTATAAACCTTTAGGCCTAACTACATTCCCAATGAAGTTCAAATTTTATTGTAAACATTTTTCTAATTAAAACACTAATACTTAATACTAGGTGTTTATTATATTTACTATGATATCAAATTCTACTTAAGGTTCACAACTTTGAATCAATGAGCATTTTGGGCAAAAAAAATCACAGATCCTTCTAACATGCAGCTCAGACAATTTTGTGTAGTTTCAAAAGTTCAATAAGCAGTTGCAAGTTGAATTTTGTGCAGGTAAATGTCAGAGAGATGCAGAACCACAAACTTTTCTCTAAAACTGTACATCACATTTTATGTATAATAATGGATGCTACAAAATGAAGCAGATTTTAGCATCATTAGATAAAATTTTAATAAAAGTTTCATGAACATCTAATATAACAGAATATGTATGACCTTAATAACATTTTCATTATTCACAAAAATTGACTTTTGCATCCCATAAAGCAAACTTATAATAAATAAATATATGTAAAATAATACTCAGTGCCCTCCAGGGGGCATTACTAGGTGGTATACACTTTAGTTTGAGCAGCTCTGAAAATTCCTAAAAATGTCCCCTGCCTTTACCAAGGAAGAAGGGAATAATTAGGTTTTTCTATACATATTTATATTAAAAATCTTCAAAGTTACTACTGCCATTTTCAAATATCTAATATCACTTTAAAAAAATATTGACCACTTTATCTATATTATTAAAGTTTCTTTGCTGTCAAGAATGTGTTTTTAATGTGCAGATTTTCAAAAATCTAATGTGTTAAATACAATACTGAGCTTCCAGAGCCTTTGTGTCATCCCACATCTATAGTGCAAATGAAAAGTTCCTTTATTATTTGTATGAGAAAATACTGGTATTTCTAATTCCAAAAATATTACATACTGTCAAGAAAAAAAAACATTTTTCATTGCTGTAAACTCCTTTCATTTTACTTTTTTCAGTTTACACATAATTATTGAACCAAAAGTAAACAGCCACTTATGGATTTAATTCTGATACTGAAAGTATATAAAATAGACATACCTATTAATGTAGATCACAAACAGTCTGCTCACTTTCACAAAATGACATTTCATTTTAAAACCAAGAACCATAGTAAAAAACAAATACAAGCAGGAAGAGCTTATCCACACATATTATACACAGAACAGAAATTAAATAAAACAAATTATTTTATGTTTACAATATGTATGATTAATTTTTGCAATCCATCAAAATCCAAATTAAGGAGCACTACATGATGTATTTTAGCATCACACCCAACAAAAGGCAACAGTACAATAAAAGCACTCCAATTTGATTCACAGACTTGATAACAAAAGTATCCAAGTCAAATTATTGCATTTCTGGAATGTAAAATTTTTACAGTAAAACTCAGATTGAAACTTATCAGCTTGTGAGTTCCTCTGTTTTGTTTTTTTTTAAGAAAAGCTGACACCATCTTCTGGCCTTGTAAGTTTATCAAAGGTCCCTTACTTTACCTTTGGTGTGACTCTATGGGACATTTTATATTTAGGTAATGTTTATTCATAGTGTACACAATTATATAATTGCTCAAAGGTTTCTTTCCTTGAGATTGTTAAAAAATGCAATAATCATAAGAATGAAACCCTGTTTGCAAGTTCTGAGCTATTAGGGAAAGTATAAACATGTTAACAACTTCTGCCATACAAAAGTCAGGGATCAAATGACTCAGATCCTCATTATTACAAGCTTGAATAGGGACCTGAATGAAAATATTTTATCACTTATAGTTGATGAGGTTAGAAATGGAAATCTGAGTACAAGAGGCAGCAAATAAGCAGTTGAATTGGAAACCTGAACGCAGGTGAGAAATGTTAAACTTTGATGATATAGTTTGTTTTAATAACTTGAAGTCTTTTATAATCACTTTTAAGTTTTGGTTTCCATTAAGAATTAGGATTAGCCTCAAATGACTGATTAAACTCTTTACAACTTATCAATTTTTATTCTCATAAATAAACACTCACTGCATTAAATATACCAATAAGAATTAAAACATTATAATGAACTAATGATATACTTATTATGCAAACCAATACAAACAAATTGGTCTCAAATGACAGTACAATAAATATTAGCTACTTTTAACAACAAATTTTAAAGTGAGCTTGCATGCATAATCTATACATTTAATCTAAATCTGACTGACATTTGTGACATTAATATGTCAAAATTCAGATTATTAAAATAAAAATATCTCTTTTATCACTGTTGAATACATTTGTAAAAATACAGCTTACATACCACAAAAAAAATTTCCCAACTACCTACAGCTTGGGGATTTTGATATCTCCACTTGTGGTTCATCTGTCTCAAGAACTTGCAAAACCAGTTTGAAACTATAACACAAGCAATCTTTGGATAACAATTACGTTCTTTCTTATTAGTGAGGTGCGAAACAACTGCACAAAAACATAAACTGGGTATTATGAAACTTGTGTACTCTTTCTTATTCAGCCCTTTCTTCAACAAAAAAAAATATAGATACAATTAAGATATGTCCACTTACCTTGTAAACTTGACCATATGTACCATTTCCAACAACTTCTATTAACTCAAATATCCCAGCAGGATCCTAAAAAACAAGGTTACTTTACTATAAACAAAATTACAGTGCTAGTCTTGCACAGTGTAATAATTAAGAAATAACCAATTTGATTAATAATCTACGATACTTTTTATTCAGTAGGCTTAACAGTTTACCCGTAACACAACTTAGAAATTGTACTTGAATTTAATTCCCTTTTAAACATGTAATGTGAATATCATATTGCATACATGCTAAATTTTATTGTACCAGAGCCCTGCCAAAATTCATCAGATATGTGATGTCATCATCAGAGGAAAATTTTCTTAATCAAAAACCTAATTTTCATTTTTGTGAGATCATTTTAAATACAGAAAATATATGCATCAATAGTTATTTGAACTACTTACATCAATACTAAGCTGAATACACATATACTACCAAGATAATACATACAACTAAACCTTCTTTAAATTAGACATCAAGAAAAAAAATCAATTGAGTACCATATAAAAATTATTACAGTTAAAACAAGTTTTAAAAAAGCATGTCTTATTAATTTATTACATTTCTTATTGAACTAAAGTGCTAAGAACTACAACTTTGACTTCTATAATGCTTTGCACATTACCTGTCTCATCAACACAAGTAACTAAAAGAAAAGCAACTGTCTTCATATATTAGGTAAATAATAAGCCTTTTAAAAATGTGTATGATTTAAACACACAACATCACTGTAAAACATTTTATTAAACATTTTAAGACCATATTCTTAATAACCATGTACAGTATGACAAAAATACATTTTCCCATTTTAACACTGACACCTGTTCTTGAATCAGCACAGTCATACAGCGCCTTGAGGAAGAGTGACAGTGTGTGTGTGTGTGTGTGTGTGCTGGGCAGTTTGAAGAGAGCTCTACCAGTGGACATGGGAGATCACAAACAGCCAGTGTTCTCAGATACTTGGAGTGTTTGATTATGAAAGACACTTAATTTTGAGTTTAAAGTGAACAATTTATTTTTTACATACATATTTTAAGTTATTTAAATGTCAGGACTCAGCTCCAATTACAGGTATTGGAGCAGTGCTCTAGTGCATTCCAGCAGCACTAAACCACTGCATATAACACAATACAGAGTGCAAAACACGTCTACAAAAAAGGTGAATTCAATTAATAAATTAGTTTTACAATAAACTATATACACAAACTAACATTTAAATGTGTTTCTTTATCAGACATGGGTATTCTCAGGTGAATATGCAAAAGGTCTACTCAGACTCAAAATATTTTACTGCATTCCATAATGATGAATTTTATAATGTATTAAACAACCATAATTTGTTTTGTTTTTTTATATTAAAGACATATAGGTACTTTAAATTACTAATACATAGTTTCAGCCAATCTTTAATATAGAATAAATCAGCTCCAATTAAGGTGCTTTAAGATATTTTAATCTAAAAAAGTTGACTGCTAGCCTACTTCATTACTAACAACAGAAAAGGCAACTTACTAAAACACAATTTTAAAATGGAAATGTCAAATTATCCCTGTAACAAACATAGAAAAAAGTTATTAAAAAAAAATTATTAAAAATTATCAGTTCATTTTATAATTTATGACCTTTTTCTTTAGATAGGGTGTTATTTTTAAGTATTGGTGTTTACTCTTCATTTAATGGTGAATAATACATTTCTTATATTTAATAATCTATTTATTTTTAAAATAAAGCTACATTATAAATTACGCATATGTAGGTCCTACTAGCAAGAATGTAGAAAACATTATTTATGTACATAAAATTTTAAGGATTCTCCTAGAGTTAAACACAATTCCTTTTAATTTTCAGGCTTATTTCATCAAAACTTTTTTTTTTGCCAATCTAGAATAAAATTTGTAAGCAAGTAGGAAAGTGGTCTTAATATCAATGCTCTTAAAGGTTTAGACAAGCTGCTTAAAGAGTTTTCTGGGTTTAAGGCTGATGAGGGTGGAGAATAAATTATATTATATAGGGTAACATTATATACTCTACAAGCTTATTCACCAAAAAGTGTATTTTTTGTAATTAGCATTAGCTATTCTAAGATTATAAATTAGGCTAAATTTATGAGATTTCATGTTAAGCTAAAAACAAGTGTCAATAGACCACTGAAAGATTTAAGAAGCAAATGGATTAATAGAATATGACTGGTCTGTTAAAAGTTCTTTCAATATACAACAGACAAAATTAGTTCATCGAAATACATTTATCTACATATCCATAGATACTGTAAAGAAGCTTCATTCCACTAAAAAAATACTAATACTGGATGCACAATAGTTTAAAATATACAATGATTACAAATTATATTAAACATACACAATAGTAAATTACACACATGGTGGTAGAGATATAGAAATCCTGTTAAATTATATATTACAAAAAAAAAGGTAGTGTGACAAATACAAATTCTCCAAGGTCTGGAAAATAAGCTCTAATGTTAAAATGTAAATAAACATGCATTTATGCTTTAGATCCAGTTTTAATGTTAAGAACAAATAAACAGCAACTTAACTGTCTGTGTGAAGAATAAATTTACCTAAAATATATATATCTGGTTTAAGAGTCACAAGATATAACAAATATTTGTATTGAAATGTACTCAGTAGTTTCCTTTCTGATCTGTAGAGCTAGACAATTAACTCAATTACTTACGAGCATTGATTAGATTGATAATTGTCATGGCAAATAATTGATTCATCAAAATTATGATTATATCACTTAATGTCACAAAAATAATCAACTAATTGAAACTGGTGTTTCTAATTATTACTGTTTTTGTTTACTTCAACTGTATAAGAAATCAAAATATTGCCATTAGATTTCTCATTATTATTTTTGGTTAACTCAAGGTTGTTCAGCTTAGTCAATAATTATCATGACTCACAAAAATAATCAACTAATCAAAATTAGGGTTTCCAATTATTACTATTTTTGATTATTCCAAGTCAATTAGTTGAATGTAAGCGATTAATGAGCCTGATGATTATTTATTAGTAAATTCCACTATTAGCCCACCTCTACTCATCAAATATAACAATAAAAGCTTGACGTTTTTTACTACTTCTAGCTTTTATCCATTTTAATAACAGCACACAGAAGATACAATAGTTAAAGAAAAAAAGTTTCAAAGAACTTTAACACCTGTATAAAATACAAAACATAAAAGTTAACTGTTATTAAGAAAAACAATCCAAAATTTTTTGTTTCAGAAAAAAAGATTCTAAGAAATTTCCGTAAAAGTATTTTTTTCAATCACTGACACAGTTTTCAGATATCAAACACTTACTGCAATTCTAACACAATTCATCTTTTCACAAGTTTGCATTAAAAAATAAAAAACAAGGTTTGCCAAAAGTTATCAAGTTTTTGTTACTGGATCTATGCTCATTATGTTCTTACATTAATACACCTGTATGCATATTCTGTTTCTTAGCAAATTACTACTTGCAATAAATAAAGCTCAGTTCAGTTCATTTCTTTATGTTTTAATCAGAATAAATACTATCCTAAGGAACAATGGAAGTTGGAAGATACTGACTTGCCTGATGCTTAAAGAACATTCACTGAATACATGATGTATGGTACAATTTTTTTCTATTTTGTGAAAATTTCTTTATTGATTACTTATTGTCACTTACTTTTTATCCTAACTTGTATTCCTTCATATCTGATTTCTGAGAAGCAACCCTGTGGCTAATTCCACCTTTCAAATAACAAAACTGTTTCTTCTTATGACCACCATAATATGTATGTTTGTCTTTTTTTTAATGATCATCTTTTTAATATGTCATCAACAATAGGAAATAATGCTTGGAAGTTTTATTACAAGTGAGCTTAATATACTTGTACTGCAATACATACACACACTCAAAAACAAAAATTAAATCAAACTTTTTTTAACTAGTGATATCATGTATTTATAAAAGTACGTATATACATGCTAATTAAAATTCATTGTATTCAAAACAATCACTAAAGTTTATGTTTCACTTTTTAACCATAAAACCATGAGTTACAACATATAGCAGAAAAATGCTATGGTTACATTAAACGCTATGTAACATTTTGAGGTGGCAACAGTTTTGCTGGGAGGTAATAAAATTACAAGTGATATAAATTCTAAGAACTTACACGTGAAAGCAAAGAAGAATACGTGATAATATATCTAGACTATATCTGCCATATCCAGTGACAACAGTCTTTCTCCCAATACCAAGGTTCATCAAGTCAGCTGGGATATGACAGCCAAAACCTGAAGAAGCTCAAATTTGTATAATTATCAGTTAAAACAATTTAGGTAACATATTTGCTATTTACTTACCTTTAAACTGTTAAGATCTATGTCATCCAAACTACAGTTAACACTTGGTTGTGTTAGTGCCATGGTGAGTTTTGAAAATCTCCAATAAAACAACACAAAACATAAAAATGACTCGAAAGACCGGATTCTAGTCTGGCATCGAGAATTGCGTACAATACTCAGACAGTGAAAGTGAGAAAGAATAGGCCTACACTACAACTACCAGGAATACTGTATGAAGCAACTTTTCTTTTCTAGCTTTAGCTTATATTTTATAAGTTAATAATACCAGTTCTCACAAATGTTTGTATAAATATAGACCTCAATTTACCATTCATAGTCAAAGATTTAAAACAAATTGTTTAAAAATTAAATACAACCACATTATTACGAAGCAACCATTTCAACTCGCTACTTTCTCTCGTCGCCCACTCTCTTCTCCATTAATGAATTATTGCCAAGGTTGAAAAAAATACAGCACGATACTGTTGTTGATCAGATGAGTTGAAACTTAAAGCGTCATCTGGAAGTATGTTATTGAACTAATAAAATGTTCAAAGCCTCATCTAAGCCATATATATTTGTAACTAAAAGGTATGTAACACGTTAAGATTAAGCAATTTTTATCTTATTTTATTGTGTCCTTTATTTTTATTCGCCAAATTACTTTAAAATGCATTGATAACCCAAATTATCTAATGATAATATACTGATTTACGATATTGCTTCGTTGAAACATATTTTTTCTTTCATTCGTTTTAATTAAAGCAATTCAGAAAACGTTTGAATAAGAGATTATGTTTTATAAAAAATAGCCTATCAACATGAAAACCCAAATAAAGAAGAAATTATCTTTCGTAACAGATCGCGCATTTAATTTTTTTTCGTGATTATTATTTAGTCTTCTAGTATGTAGCATTACTGAAAGAGTACGTGCACGGAACAGATCCAGCAGATCGGGCAGCAACCGGCATTTTAAACTTTAATTTGCACTTCAAAACTTGTTTCTAGGTAAATAGACAGACTTATGGTAGTATATAATAAATTTCATGTGCATTCTGCGAGTGAACATGCATGTGAGTATAAGTGCCAGTGAATTATAAATAAATGCTTGCAAATGATTAATACTTTCAATAAATTATAGTAAAATTATCACAAAATTCCATCTCAGAGCAACTACTTCTCAAACTTTTCCAGGGGGCATGCCCCAGACCCATCTAGCACTGACATGCTTTGCATGCCAAAGTGTACTTTGCGCACCATTCCGAGTTGCCTGACCAATAAAAAATGCTTCTCCACCCTGAAATGAAATAATTTTACAATGAAATATAGTATATGATTTTCAACGTTGATGTTACACTGCAAATACCATTTAAAATCACTCTTTATTATTATTCACCAAAGCACGTGATGATAAATTAAGTAGTGTTTGTCACAACATTAACTCTCTTTGAAAAACAATGTCACTGATTTTTAGAGTATTAGCTGCAAAATAGAAATGACACAACTTCAGGATTGCTAAACCATAAATAATATACAATTTGAATAATAAAGTAAAATTCATAACATTATTATTGTTGGTTAACTACTTAGCCGAAGTAACAAATATTATAATAATTTTCAAGCCACAGATTAACAGTAGAAATAATTATATATAAATAAATACGTAAAATATGTTTCTAAAACGAAAACAAACTATTTTTGCTCAACAGTGTGAGCGAATCTCTTCATTATCGTGAATTAATTTCAGGATTGTATCACAGTTCATCCCTAATTTGATGTGAATCGATATTTAACATTTTTATGAGTAAACATGTTATAATGACTATACTTTATAAAAATTAAAATTAGAGGTTTAATACTTATTAAACTGCAGTACACGTAAAATGTTCAATCTTCTAGTATGGCTCGACTCGCAATCTGTTGGTCGCGGGTTCGAATCCCCGTCATACCAAACATGCTTGCCCTTTCAGCCGTGGGGACGTTATAATGTGACGTTCAATCCCACTATTCGTTGGTAAAAGAGTAGCCCAAGAGTTGGCGGTGGGTGGAGATGATTTGCTGCCTTCCCTTTAGTCTTACACTGCTAAATTAGGAACGGCTCGTGTAGCTTTGCGCGGAATCCATAACAAACAAACAATCTTCTGGTAAAGTCCCCTAGTGGGCCAGCGGTAAGTTTAGAGGCTTACAATGCAAAGTCCTGGCTTCAATTCCCATTATATAACTTTTCGCTTAAAAAACCCTTGGTTATAATAATAATAATAACTACTCGTGGAAATGCACGATGTTTTTAATTCTCGATAAACTCATTATTTTATTAACAATCTACAAATACAATAAAGTTTATTTCAATGGTTTTTGTTTTCGGTCTTTTATTATGCATAAAATTATTCTATGGCATCGTCGAAAGTCGAAAAACTGGATTCAATTATATTTATTTTATTAGGTCGTCCAGAAATTAATGTCGCGTTTTGGAACAGTTTCATTAACCACAACCAAAAAAACATACATCACGTATAATAGTTAAACGAACCGCCTAAACGTCACGTTAGTGTAGCTTATATAATGTGTAAAGTTTAGTTTACTCTAAAGTCTAATCCATTATAGTGATGGTATATGACGAGACACACATTCGGCATGTAATGCTGTTTGAATACAAGAAGGGAAACAATGCCTG